GGAAGGAAGGCAGGGAGGAAAGGAGAGAACACTTACTCTTTTTTCTGGAAGAAGAGAGAACGCCCTCACACTACCCCAATTCTGCCCTTTTCAACTCCCCGATTAATATTTTTAAGTGTTAAATATCAATCTTTCATATCCTCAGTATGAAGAGACTTCCCTGTGGTCTGTGAGGTACTTCAGACACTCTCAGTGGAGAAGAACTGAGGACACAGCAATGCTCTGAGGGTCCCAACCGGACGCCCATGACCTGCTCCCGCCCATCAATTACATCAGTTCCTCACAAGTTGCCGTCATTTATGGGACGACAATTTACTTATATGAGGATAGGCTGAGCAATTAAAACCGAATCAACCCAAAGGTTAGACACTGGTTAAAATTAGAGGCTTCAAAGTTAGACTCAAGTCCAGGTCAGAGCTCTGCCCCTAAGTAGGTGTGAATTTGAGCCAAATCTCCTCTCCCCCAGACTTCTGATTTCTCATCTCTATAATGGAGATGCTGGGAATACATTCATGGGTTTAGGTGGAGAGGAAATTCAATGCCTCTCAAGAGTAAACTGCTCAACTGCCAGTGGCATTGGAGCTGTTTCTATCAGCAGAGGGCAGCCCTGTAAGGAAAAATGGAGATCCCCTACCTGGCACTGAAACCCAAACTCAGAAGCGGATCTGTTGGGACACTAAGTCTGGTAACTTTGAAACAGAGGGTGACCGACTTCCTGGGAAGACCACCACGGATACACACAGAGCCTTGTCAATGGATGCAGTTATCTGTGATTCCACTGCAAAGTTATTGTCATTCATTACATTTTCACCTTTACTCTTCCTTCTTTTCCCCCATCCAATATTTCTGACTATACCCCATACATGTTTTATTTCCCTCCATGTTACATGTTCTATACGTAGATTCTGCCGTGCCGGGTACTGACTTGCAACTTCCTTTTTCTGGCATAAGAAATTTGACTTTTACCAAACACGGTTATCATTGCACATCTATGTAACGCCGCTCTAGAGCTAACAGCATAAATTATTTACGACTTTCCCCTCAAATCTAAAAATGTTCATTTTGTCCTTTAATTTAATAGGCCTAATGCGTTCCCTGTGGCATTATTTATAATGAAAAAATTGTTTCTAAACATACGGGACAGTTTAAGTAAATGATGGTACAGAGTGACATTTCTGAGGATGTTTGAACAATATGAAAGCGCGTGGTATAACTACAGCAAGGTCACAGGTTCACACACATGCTACACCTCAAAGCAGGAAGGGGGGAAGGAAGGTCCGGTCTTTCCCTCTGGATCGCTTGTTACCAATTTCCTTTTGAGCCCTTTTGCCACTTGATAGTGAGGAGGTTGGGTGAGGAAGAGGGAGGGGGTTTACTAGAGTCCCTTCCAATTTTTAAAAACCTCATCTTTTATTTTAGTTTTTTATTATAAAGATATGGGGTGCAATTCAGGGTTAGGTATACAAATATTGATTATGCAGATACCCTCGATGATGAGATGTGCTCCTCCCTCCCCTGACAGTTTCCCACTACTGCCAATCCCTTTCTTTTTTTTTTTTTTTTTGAGTTGGAGTCTCCCTCTGTCACCCAGACTGGAGTGCAGTGGCCGCTCCCGGCCACTGCAGCCTCGACCGGCTGGGCTCCAGCGATCCTTCTGCCTCAGCCTTCCGAGTAGCTGGAACTACAGGCAAGCGCTACCACGCCCGGCTAATTTTTGATTTATTGTAAAGATGAGGTCTCGCTAATTGCCCAGGCGGGTCTCGAACCCTCAGGCTCAGGCAATCCACTCACCTGGGCCTCCCAAAGTGCTGGGACTATAGGCTGAGCCACCGAGCCCAGCCAAACCCTTTCTTATAGTACTATAATTGCTCAAGGTCCACTTATGAGTGAGAACATATAGTACTCCGTTCTTTGTTTCTGTGATAGATCACTGAGTATGATCGACTCCAAATGCATCCAAGTTGCTGTGAAGTCCGTATGTTTGTCCTTCTTTGTGGCTGTGTAATATTCCATTGTGTATATGGACAACATTTTCTTTAGCCAGTCCAGCTTCGAGGGGCAACACGATTGGTTCCATGTTTTTGCTATTGTGAATAGAGCTGCAACAAACATGCGTGTGTAGGGATCTTTTTTGTAAAATGATTTGAGTTCCTCCGGGTATATTCCCAATAGGGGGATTGCTGTCATAGGGAAGGTCAATTTCTAGTTCTTTCAGAAATCGCCACACTGTCTTCCAAAGAGGTTGCACTAGTTTGCATTCCCACCAGCAGTGTAGAAGCGTTCCTTTTTCTCCTCATCCTCGCCAGCATTTGCTATTGTTTTATGAATGATGGCCATTCTTACTGGGGTTAGGTAGTATCTCAATGTGGTTTTGATTTGCATTTCTCTGATGATTAGTGAGGCTGAGCACTTTTTCATGTATCTGTTGGCTGCCCGTATATCTTCTTCTGAGTAGTGTCTATTCATGTCTTTTGCCCACTTTTTAAAGAGACTATTTGTTTTTTTCCTTTCGGTGTATTTGAGTCCCTTGTAGATCCTAGATGTTAGGCCTTTGTCAGACATACAGTTGGCAAATATTTTTTTCCCATTCTGTGGGCTGTCTCCCTGCTCTCTTGATGGTTTCTTTGGTTTTGCAGAAGCTCTATAGTTTGATGAGGTCCCACCTGTCTATCTTATTTCTTTAGGTATTGGCCTGTAAGGTTCTGAATAGGAATTGGTTGCCAGTTCCAATTTCCATAAGGGAGTCTCCTGCATTTTCTAAGATTCTTATAGTTTGAGGAAAAATCTCATCTTTAATAACGTGAGTAATCACTTTAGAAACTCTTTTCTCTTGGAATTGTACGGTGAGGTGTGGCATTCCTGATCTCACCAGGTTTCTTTGGAAAGTGTCCAGTCCCAGAGTACCCTCTGCTGTGATCTCTCAGTTCTGATCCCAGACACTTGCCCCCTTCTGATATTCTCAGAGGTTCTGTGTCTCCCAACCAGGGCAGGCAGGAAGCTAGAATGCTGCCTTGGGTGGTGGGGAGAACAAGGAACCTGCCACTCAAATGCCTTCAGCTACGCCCCGCCCCCGTCTGCTCTGCCTTCTTCCCATCAAGCACTGGGACTGAAATAGAATTTTCCCTCCTTCCCTCATTCCTGGAAATCATAATAGATGGAATGTTGCTTGAAATAGAACAGGTTGCCAATAAGGGAGCATAGAGAAGAGGGTATCTCCAGAATATGATACCCAGTTTATAACGTAAAGAGGAAAAACACAAAGTGTAAAATGTGTAAATGCTATCAACAAATTACATAAGATGCATGCAGAAAACCCTGGAATTATATGCATCAAATTTACCAATAAATTTTATTTTAATTTTAAGAAATTTTAATTGCCACACAAGTGTCCATATAGATGGAGTATAATAGATGCTTTCACACAGGTGTACATTGTGTGATGATCAACTCAGGGTAATTAACATATCTCTCACCTCAAACATTGATCATTTCTTTGTAGTGAGAACATCTGAGCACCTCTCTTCTACTTATTTTGAAATATACATTATCGTTTCTTGGGTTTTTTTTAAAGATGTGGGGTATACCTTTCAAGGTTAGGTATACAAATGTTGACCGTGCAGGTCCCCTTGTTGATGAGGTGTGCCCCTCCCTCCCTTGGCAGTTTCCCTCAACTGCCGATCCCACCCCAAACTATACATTATTGTTAACTAAAGTCATAGTACGGTGCAAAAGGGCACCAGAATTATTCCTTCTACCTTACTGTAACTTTGTACCCACTGACCAATCCCTCTCCCTTCCCTTCTCCCCCCAACCCTCCTCAATAGCTGGTAACCGCTGTTCTTTTACTTCTGTGAGATCGATGCTTTAGTTTCCACGTGAGTGAGATGACATGGCGTTTGTCTTTCTGTGCCTGGCTTATTTCACTTAACAAATGTCTCTCCGGTTCATTCGTGTTGTCGCACATGCAGGGTCTTATTCTTTTTTTTTTGAGTTGGAGTCTCACTCTGTCGCCCAGACTGGAGTGCAGTGGCCGCTTTGGCCACCACAGCCTCGACCTGCTGGGCTCCGGCGATCCTTCCGCCTCAGCCTTCCGAGTAGCCAGAATTACAGGCACGCGCTACCACGCCTGGCTGAATTTTTGATTTATCGTAGAGACGAGGTCTCGCTGCCCAGGCGGGTCTCGAACCCGTGGGCTCAGGCAATCCACTCACCTCAGCCTCCCAAAGGTGCGGGATGACAGGCTGAGCCACGGAGCCCGGCTTTTATTCTTTTTTATAGTGACTAATACTCCATTGTGTATATGTGCCACATTTTTCATCCATTCATCCACTGATGAACACTTAGATTGGTTCCATATCTTGGCTATTGTGAACAGGGCTGAAATAAAAATGGGAAGTGCCGATATCTCTTTGATATTACTGATTTTGCTTCCTTTGGATATATACCCAGTAGTGAGATTGAAGGATTATATGGTGATTCTACTTTTGATTTTTTGAGGAAGCTTCCATACTCTTTTCCACCGTGGTTCTACCAATTTGACTTCCTATGAACAGTGTGTAGGTGTCCCCTTTTCTCCACATCTTTGCCAACACTTGTTACCATTTGATTTTTTGATAATAGTCTATCTAACTGGAATAAGATGGTAATTTACTATTGCTTAAATTTTATGAACAAGATTTCGGCAACCACAGCTCAAAACTTGAATTGAAAACCTAGTTTACTTTTTTGCGAGATGAACTTCTCGCTCAACTTTCTCATCAGCACTTCCTTCAAACTTTCTGAGACCATTGCCTAAGAAACCATGGGCCAACTAAAAGGCAAAAAACTTGGGGGAATATGAAAAGCATACTCCCTCCGACTCAGACAGAAGACACCTGCAAAAATATGCTGTCCATTTTCACTTGTCATAATTTAAAAACTAAAATAGTAGAGTGCTGTAGTTGCTATTAATGTTGGTAAGTGCAGAAAAACAGATATCCTGTTTTTGCTTTCTTCTGTAGGTCACCAGATCACTCTAAAAATCAAGCATATGAAGCTCGTGTTAAAAAGTTCCAACATCAACAAAATAACAAGGTAAAAAAATCATGCTTTCTTTTATATGTTGGTTTTAATGACTGAATTTGACTTTTGAAGAAAACTAAAAACATTTCTGTCCCTGACTCTTGTTTCAAATAGAGATAAGTAAAGCAGTCTTTCTCGACTTTTAATTTAGTGTTTTCAGGAGGAAACAAAAGGTATTTCCTGGTGTAAAAATGAGAGAGACCGAAAGCTGATATTAACTGAAATGTATAGACAAACAATAGAATAACTAAAACAATCCAAATAGTTTATAATAGTTCCAACCTTTCTTGTAAAAATACACATGTGATTTATCAAGCACATTTCAACCAGGTTGAAATTTTTACAATAGTAATTACATTCCTGGCATTGAATAATTTTATACAGCACATTTTTAAATATTCTTTTTATTTCAAATAATAATCAACTAAAGCAAAAAATATGTAGAAAATGTAGACAAAACATGAATTGTGAACAATGAGTAACTAAAAACTCCTAAAAGCTCACTCTCAGATAAATATTTATTTCAGTGTCCTAGAAGTCTCTTTTAAAATATTCGTTTAATGAACTCACTTTGCTGAAATAATTTTACCTTACAAGGCAAAACAAACTTGTCTATAAGCAGATATAGACATATATATATCATACATAGAGTTTTAGAAATAACTTTGGGGGATAGACTTCAGACAATTTTTAGCCTGAAATAACTTATTATCAAAAAGTATAGTCTTTGATGGTAACAGCAGGTGATAATCAGCCAATGTCCACTCTAAGACTTACAGTCCAATGCCTCAAAGTTTGCTCCTGAAAAAGTTATCACAGTCAATAAACAGTTGAGGACACAGGAGCAATCACACGAAACGCTAATCATAATTTTATGTATCCAAGTGCACACTGGAAATGTGTGCCATTTTGACTTCCTGAAACCAAGACTATTAGAAAAATAGAAAAAGTTCAGACTAGGGCCAAAAAATGACCATAAAACATAGAACCTGATATTGACAAAATGTCCAGGATGAAGGAAACAACTAAATCTTAAAGTACCAGAGAGAATTAATAATGTTTCAAATGAATAAAAGGAAGAGATAATTTTCAAAGTAAGAAGTAAACTGAAGAACTACGTGTACTCCAAGGAAAAAATAACAAACATTCAGCATCAGTGCGGCCGCATGAATTTGTGTTGAGAGTAACTCAGAGGTCACATGTGAGTTTCGTGAGGGAAAGTGCTGTAATAGATCAATCATGTCTACTATGGTTGGATGGAAATATGGTGACTGTCATTCACAGACTATTGGCCACCCCTTCTCCAAGCGATGGGTCAGCCCCGGAATAGGTTTAAGAAGAGATAGAATACATTTCTAGTGGATTATAAAGTTAAGACTATCTGGAAGGCATCCCCAAACTTCCAAAAAAGATATCCTGAATGGCAATCACCAGTGGAGATAATATTGGTACGAACCATAGATTTGATCTTGGGTGGCATTTCTCAAGTTCTTAAAACTGTTTCTTTTTCAGGTAACCCAGAAAAGAAATTCTGAATTACTGACAGCAGAATAGGAAGAATGTAACCACCAAGATAGGGAAGGAAATTAAAAATGAAAATATACAAAATTATCATTGAAGCTATCTCAAGATAGACGATTTGATTTCTCAAGGAAAACTGTATCCACTTTGGTAACATTCTGAAAACAGAGGCAGGCATCTTCACTGGTCATCAGAATTCAGGCATTAGTCAGTACCGAAAACCAGCTCACGCCAGGTTTCAAGTATACAAGAGTCATGCATTTGATGACTGGTAAATTCTGAAGAAAAGATATTTATGATCAAGATCCCAAACACAGTCAAAGTACTTTGTCCTTGGGCAATAATCAAGGTGATAGTAAACCAGATTTGCTTCCGCTGCCCTTACAATGTCACTCACAGATCATCTGCAACAAGTGTAACTTATCGTTTGGGGGTGGGTGGGTTGAACAATTTATCAGGAAGCAAATCCTTTATATGGTAGGATGTACATTTGAAAATGAGTGTTAATGCAGTGAAATGCAGATCCCTCTAATTATATGAATGTACATAGTATGTAAGCACTGTGGTGTGTGTGTGTGTGTGTGTATATATATATATATATATATATATACACACACACACACACTCTGCCCTACAAGGACCCAAAAGTACCGGAATTTATTTATTTAAAAATGTGTATTTATTCTTACATCTTTAAACTTCAGTCACCTTCAAAGTACACCCCATTTGATGCAGTACACACACCTATCAAGGCGCTTTATCCACTGCACTAAGCAGTGTTTGAACATGTCAATTTTTATGCCTTTTAGAGCTCCTGCCATTTTTTTGTTTCACCTCTTCCACATCAGCAAAACTTTTCCCTTTAAGGACTTTTTTCATTGGAGAAACATACAAACAAAAGTCACTCGGGGGAAGATTGGGTGAATAGGGAGGGGGTGGGGCATGGTGGGGTCATGTCGCTTTTTGGTCAAAAACTGAACGGGGGGCACACCTCATCAACAAGGGTACCTGCATAATGACCATGTGTATACCTAGCCCTGAATTGTACCCTACATTAAAAAAAAAAAAACAAAAAACTGCTGAACACTCAATGCAGTATGGGAAGGTGCACTCGTGAATCACCCATCATGAAATGGGCAACACACTGAAAGAATCTCCCAAAAAGAAACCCACTGATGCCGAGCACAATGCTAGCTGGTACATTGATGGCTGATGGGTTTCTAGAACATATACCTAGTGGGGGAAGCCTTTATGACACGGGGCCCATCCTCCAAAAGATAATTCCGGGCTTGGGTACCCCCTTGTATACATACACCCATAGTTTTTAGACACACTTGCACACACTTGTTTAATATAAGCAATGATTGCTTACACAGTAGATTGTTTTATCATCAATAATTTTTGAATTGCTCTTTAAAAGAAAAAGAACTGAGGTTCAGAATATGCATACCATGGGGGGAAAACATCTTACTTTTCTTGTTACTACATGAAGCTCTTTTAAAGAAAACACTATATTGGGGGGAAACATGAGGTCCCACCATATGACACCACGTGCTCCGGTCTCCCACAACAGATGACAATGTCTTCCCATAGGAGCGTCACCGAACACTTCCTCACAGTGTAACCCAGTTCAGTTTTTAGCATGCTAATTAAAATTAATCTCTTTATATCTCTTTCAAATGTTCTACTATCAAATGTTTGATGAAAAACCTTAACTTTAATAAAAGCACAATAATCGCAGATTTACAATAAACTGAGTCTGTGTTTTACCAGGTATTCCTCGGATCTGCTTTATGGATTGAATAAATGATTTTAAGCATGAAGATTTTAATGCTGTCAAAAGTCAGCAAAATAGTAAGCGTGAATAGTGATACTTTCCAGTAAGTTTCAAAAATAAAAAGAGATCACAGAGTACAAGTCTGGGGCCAAGTTCAAAGAAGTTTCAGTCATCTTGAGTTCTTGCCGCTTCCTGCATCAGCCTAACTCAGGGTGTCCAGTCCTGGCAACTGGAGGAAGTTGCAGGACCCCTCCGATTTATTCCATCTGTGACACACCCGACAATTGCAACATTCACCGCTTTGCTTATGACACTCTGTAGCTGTGTTAACAGCACAAGACGGCCAGGCATGGTGGTTCATGCCTGTAATCCCAGCACTTTGGGAAGCCGAGGCTGAAGGATTGCTTGATCCCAGGAGTTCAAGACCAGCCTGGGAAACAGAACAAGACCATGTCTCTTTAAAAAAAAAAGTATAAGATGCACGAGGAAGGTGTCCATGGAAATCATCTATTTGTATTTCTGGTACATCAGTATTTGGGAAAAGTACCAGACATACATTCTTAAGGAAATGAGAAAAAAATTTAATAACAGTTACAACTAGATGAATTTTCAGAAATAAAAAAAAATGGCCAATTAATGAGCCTATTTGTGGTGTAAAGGTGAGATTCTACATTGAAACACATTAGGATTAAACAGGTACACATGGAAATAGAGAGGCATAGCAGACATTAGACTCCACAAGGTGGGGGGGTGAGAAATGAAGACTCACCTATGGGGTGCACTGTCCACAGTTCAGGTGATGGGTTCGCTAAAAGCCCAGAATGCACCACGATGCAATCTATCCATGGAACAAAACTGCATTTGTATCCCTTACGTCTATTTTTAAAAAACACAAATAGGATTCAAGATCTGCCTTTTGAATGTGCATTTATCTTTCCTGATTATCTTTTTAAAGCTTCTGAGACAACTCAACCTGTTTAGTAGATTAGGTTGTTAATGGGAAAAGAATATGCTGACTTGAGTTGAACTTTGTTGTGTTTTAGGGTGTGGTCCTGGCCTGGGCAAAGCTCTGCCTCTGACATGTCTCGTTTCACCCTTCCTTGGGGCTTAGGTGCGATGGGTCTACTCACTGCTGACCCCAGCGATCTTGACATGAGTCTTCATAACCACAGGTTTTGCTCACATTACACAGAGTTCATTCTAAAATGTGCCCGTGTTTCCAGTCTGGGGGGTGTGAAGTCCAAGGGCACCACCGTTCTCTCACGACTGGGCTTTCTCCTCCAGCTCGTCCTTACTCTCATGTTTAGATGTCCTCTGCTCTTCCCACCCTCTTGTTAGTTATCTTTCAGGAAAACCTTAAAACTCTCAATACTTATTACTGGCAATGCTAAATGGGGAAAACCTGTCACACCTTTTTAAGATGTGAGATGACAGGCGGCAGCCCTTTCTAAGTTCTCAGGGGCATTTGTTCTGACTCTTTCTGCTACATATGATTGGAGCAAAGGCATGGGTATCTCTTCTCAATCTAGAACTACATGTTTTGACCTCTCTGGATCCCTGTCACCTCTTCCATAAAAGGAGGCAGGTCTACCCTTCACGTATGAATTGGCTGACTGATTCATTCAATATTTATCCTGCTGCCCCAAGTACTCTTAAGCTACTTCAGGTAAAGAAACCAAAGATCAACATATCTGGATCCCCTGAGAACCACAGCGATAACCTGTGAATGAAAGTGTCTATTTAAAATACCCAATTAATACAGCTTTAGGATCAATAAGTGCTCCTTATTCTTCTTGCCTGTGGGTTTCTATTTTCTAAATTTCTACAAACACCACCATTTTTTCTTTTTTTAAATTAAGATGATCTTTTCTTGGCTGCTTGCAAAACAACACAGATGAAAAGTTATAGAAGCGATTGGCAGTTGAGGGAAACTGCCAGGGGAAGGAGGAGCACACCTCATCAACAGGGGCACCTGCGTGATCAATGTTTGTATACCTAACCCTGAATTGTACCCCACATCTTTATAATAAAAATTAAAAAGAAAAAGAGAAAAGTTATAGAAGCAGATGTAACAACAGAATGTCTTTGCGTGGCCTTGTGCTCCTGCATTCCTGCACGCAGGATTCCATTTCTTGCTTGTATAATCCTCCAAGAAGGTGCCATCTTCCCGACATTACAACTAAGAAAACTCAGGATTCTCTTAACAAATGTGGCTCAGACTTCTTTTGCTCAAGGAAAGCCATGGCTCGTAATGCACACCCTAATGGTTGGCAGAATTAGGAATTGCATTATAACGGAACAGGATGGGAAACATCCCAGGCTCTTGTCTTCGATATTTTAAAGATGCCACCTTTGCAGACAATTTTGGGAGACAAGATGAGTTCTTTACACACAGTGCACTGGTTTAAGCTGCTCATTTGACATCTCGGTCAAAATGCCTGATTCAAACGCGAACAAGTTACCTTTGGCTCCTAACATTTCAACCTAGCACCTGCGGGTCTGGCAGTGAATGTGGACACAGCTGCATTCCATCCTTGAGGAAACCGTTTTTGTGCATCCCTTAAGGCCAGCAGGGTTCTGGGTCTGTCCACGAAGGAGCCTCATGCAGTGCGTGTCTGTGGTATGTAGGTCACTCGAGGTCTGTCTCAACTAGAGCCTGTTCCTGGCAGCCAAAGTAAAAACTCAGGAGACCGTTTTAATAGATAAGTTCTACAACAGCCATGTGACACAATTAGGAACAAAGGGCTTAAGATGAACTATAATTTTATTAACTATTGGAGTCAAAAATTAAAGACTTGTAACAACGCTTTAGTTTTTTTTCTTACAAATTTTTCAAAGTGTTAAGTTCTCTCATTTTAATAATTTTTAACTCTTTGATTCATTTTCCATCCGGTGCCTACTAATGTATCTAAAAGATACACAGAACTATTTTTGAAAATAGTAATAAAGGGAAAAGTCATTAAAAACCAATTTGGCTACTAAATTTTGGTCAAGAACTTAGCTCGTGACTTGGTTAGGAAACAAAGTTTATCACGACTACCCTATACAAATAAAAAACACCAATTAAAGGCATGAGATGAAAGAGAGAGAGCAGGTCATTTATTCAATAACTACACCTTCTGTCACCAATCATAGGGACCCAATGACCCAAGGGTGGGTGAGTCTATCACATTCACATTCTCAATTAATAGCACAGACAGGACCATTTAATTTCTTTAACACAAGACAATCATTTGCACGTATCATAATAAATAAATATTTCTGTACTAAGACACATATTATGAGAGAAGCAATTCTGAAAACAGTGTCTATGGCTTGCAAACACAAAACTAATCAGTCAGGAAATATTTTCCTGGCTGAGGTAATCCCTCTAGGAAAAAAAAAAAATTACTGGGATTTCATTTCAAAGGTTAGGGTCTCTAAAAATTGGGGGGGGGGTGTGTGCAGAGAATAATTTTACCTTCTAATTTTATTCTAAAATACAAACAAGACACCTTCAACAAAACTCCTTGATGCACTTTTGCCTCTAAATTCCTAACATGAAAGTCATCGATATTAGGCTTGAAACTGCTGACATTTGATCAAAACTAACAGCACACAAAGAAAAAAAATTTTTTAAATGATCAGTTATGTGAAACAAACAATTACTAAATACAGGGGCTTTTGAATTACATAGCTTATGACACAGCTCTACAATCACCAAAATTTCAAAGGCCAAAAAAGACACTAGGACGTTTTTAAAAGGAATATGTTTGAAGCAGAACACCAGTTTAAATCCTATGAGACAACTTGGACAGGATTCTGATACAAAAATTGCCGTTGAGATGAAGTTGAACAAATATTTGAATTCCGTCCAGTTAAGTCACTGTGCCACCTGAAACCCTTTTCCTTTTTCTAAATGAAACAAACCTTATCTCAAAACTTTTAGGCATTTAAACTACCTGAATTTCCTTTATTTGTTCATGGAATATAAAAAGAATATTCTGATAGCAACACACAATATGATTTAAAAAAAAGCAAAGTAAATCCGTGCTGGGTATCATGGAATACATCACAGACATTTAGGCTCTTTAGAATTCTAGAACTTAGAATTGCTTCACTCAAACCAAGACACACTGCAAAGGAGAGAAAAAAAATTAGAATTTCCACCTTGGATGGAAATTTCCATGCATTTCTAAAAAAAAATTAGTGAAGAAAGTATACAGCTTGTTAGACCAAAACATCAGTGCCTGGACTATTGTAAGAAATTTAAGCTACAGTTTTATTACTCCAGTTACATGGTACTATCCATCCTTAAAAAGTACTTTGAATTTTCTTTAAAAATTCTCTTTTCCTCAAGACCAATTTATGATGGATATAAGGTGGTCTGTTGGCAAAGGATGAGGAGTGTCAGAATCTGTCCAAGTGTAACAAGCATTAGAACAACAAGAGGTTTAAGAGTTACAGCTGGATACAGAAAAATAATTTGTAGGTCCCAAATTCACTACCGTAATAACCTTAAACAGATTCACCAAAGCCATGATTAATCAGATCTGTTCACTTGGTGGAAGTAACCCTAACAGGACCGTGAATGGTCGAATCTTGGGGCGCACACCCACCTCCTGGCAGCTCCCCTGGGGGGTTGGGTGTCGCCTACTTGAGCAGGCTCTGAAGCATGGCTGTCGCATAGGTGGGCCTGGCCTGCCGGCTCTCGATGGCGCTCTGAAGGTACTGGATGCCCCCGCAGCGCTCCCAGATCTCTTCAAACTGTCGTGGCAAGATCTCAGCACCGCGCTTCCGAGTCAGACCCGTCTCCTCCAGATTCAGCTCACACATCTCCATGTCGTCCTTACCTGCACCCAGGACACGTCAGAAAGTTACCACCTTTCTCCAGGACCATCTCCTGCCCGTTGCATTCCTGAAACACCTATCCGGTCTCGTGGGTTCGAGCACTTTTTACATTTGAGTTTCTCCCTCCAAGATGGAACTCTGCTGAATACATTGGCCAACAACTTAAATTTGTTCCCCACCACGGGTCCTTTCGAAATGTATAAACATTGCCACTGATCACACAAATTGTCAGTGTTAATAAAATGCTACACTTCTCCAAGCCACTACAAACAAATGAAAATAATTAAACACCAATGAAACGGTTCTTAGGAGACAGACAAGTCTCTGCTCAAGCCCTGCGAGGACATCATTCATCCAAGCAATTTTACATGATAAGGGAATTAATCCTCACTGAACCGGAGATGTGATTTAACTGCAAAACTCCATCCCTCCACCCTGAAATTCAATGAATTAGGATATTAGGTATTTAAATGTTTCATTCACAGGGCTTATCGTCTTTTTTTTTTGGGTTTTAAACATCTTTTTCATGGGACTCATACACACCAGCCACGAGAAGGATAGGTGGCTTGTCAGGATGGAGCTCCATCTGCCGGGCAATCCATGGCCCATCGAAATGGGCATACCACCAGCCTTTTTTCTTGCTCTGGGGGTCCTTGTACTGGTCGGCAGGGCGAATGAAGGGGATACGGAAGAAACGTTGCTGCCGGTTCATTGCGATCTCCTGCTGCCTGGCAGGGAGCTGAGCAGTGGGGTTCTGCTGAGCTGTGACACAGAAAATGACAGTTACCCAGGACTCCAGGGAAAGGAAGCCGCCTTCCACCCTGAAGTGCACCAAGCAGTTTTTTAAAGAGGAAGGAGAAAGGTTCCCGATAGTAAACGTGAAACAAAATGCAAATATTAGTGGCCTAGAGATTAACACAATTTAAGGTGTGATTTTTTAGAACTGCCTTTCCCTAAAGATGGTCCTTGGCATTGAAAACACACACACACACACACACACACACACGCGCGCGCGCGCGCGCCACCACTGCCACCACCAGCAACAACAAGCCTCTAGCAGATTCCCACACGTGACTGTATCAGTCACTCAAAATAAACTCACGTGGCAGGAAAGCCAACTAGTATTATTTACCAGGTTTCTATTTTCCCTCCAAAAAGTTAAAATGGAGGCTGCAGAATAATCTCTCTTGGACTACACATGATCAAATAAACAGGGATTTCAAAAATCTGAAGAATATGGGCATTTGTCAATTTAATCACAATTTCCACGAAAATGGAAATCGTATAAAAAGGTTCTCTTTTGCCAACTGATTTGGGGATTTAAAATGGCCAAGACAACACTGATATTCATAATATATTGACAACCAAATGATCAAAAAGAAAACAAACAAACCCTCCATAACAAGTAAGCCTTAACTGTTCCCTCAAAGATATTTACTTACTCTGAAATCAGATCTCTCTTGGAATAAAACACAGTGAAGTGTGTGGTTGGTGTATATCACTTGATTCTCCTCGCCAATAGAAACAAAAAAACCCTTGCTTTCCTGCTTGTGCTGGGCAATGCATTCATATCAATCTTTCTTTCCCCACTCAATTTCCATTACTGAACAATTAGCTTTTTATGTTATCTGCAAATGTAAACATTTCCCTAGAGCAATGACTTTAGCGGCATAATTTTGGTTAGCCTATTTAATATGCGTTATACTCACAACTTTAAAAATGGACCAACCATTTACTGCAGCTCAATTAAGAATCTCTATGAAAATCTATGTCAGCGTAATGTTATACAATATATACGATCTAAAAGTCAAGAACAGCCACATGGCTTTTGTAAGAATCTGCAAATACTGAAAGGATGAAATTACTCTTATTCTACTTGTTATACCAAGAAATAGCAAAAGCTGTACACCAGTTGACTTTATTTCTTTGCAAATCAGAGGAAGCAAGAAGCAGTGAGCAAAGCTGTACACGCCTATGGAAGATCGAGAAGCCTCGCTTTGTTAGTGACTTTAGAAAGCTGTGTCACCTTCAGCATGATATTGGATGTGCTGATGCGTTCTTTGTTCCTATTCCCCCAAAGTTGAAGATCAGTGTCTCCACTTCAGGTCTTAAAAATTACCAGCTTGTGAAAAATACACTAACGCAAAACGAAAATATTTTAAAAGGATAAAACAGAAAAACCCTTCCCTCCAGTTTATCAGAAGTTGTGAATTAGAATTTAACATCCAGTTGAAAGGAAATTTACTATGAGACTAAAATCCATTACTTAACATACTTTTAAAATGTTAAAGTAGCAGTCTCTTGTAACTTAATATGATGAGTAAAATTAAGAAAATGGACAGAAAGTCCTCGATGGCTTATCCTACTAAAAGGAGAACTAGGATTTTGTCCTGAAGGGCAGGAAACAACAAACATATAGACGTTGAAAGCTGGAAACTAATCTTCTAAACAACTTTCTTACGTATCCAATTGTGTTAACTTCAAAAGTGTGAACTGCATTCCAAACAAAACAAAGCCCTATAAATTACAAGGAACACATGAAAAAACCAGGTCCAACCAGTTGGCAACTGAAAACAGTGTTATAGCCAAATCATTATTGCTCAACTGATTCTAGAAAAAATTTACTGAACACTAAGATGACCAAAGCTTTTAAATTCTCAAAGAATGTGCATCATTGAAAGCTATAAAAGTAACAGAATAATCTCCTCTTCCTTCTAGAAGGTATCATCATTAAACCTGTGCACATTATCACACAAAACTCAGATCTCTTTGGATAGAAATGCAGATACCATCAGTGTTTGAAAATACAGTGTTTGAAACCAGCACCAAAAAGTTAGTCTTTATTCTAAAAGGTAAAGCTGCTATATTAAGATAGAGTTTTGCTACAATAAGAATTGTGTATATTCTCAGCTTAAAAATGCTAGTTTTTTTTAAAAAATTAATTTGATATAACAACAGTAATGTCATTAGATTTTGTTCTGCATATATATTTTGGAGTGATTCAAATAAAAGCATCATCTCAAATTAAAACATATCTTAGTACAGATATACCAACTTTAACATACTACAATTCCACTTAAAATTGTAGCAAAACAAAGTTTAATAGAAATTAGTATTTTATAAAGTATTTTAACCCATCTTCCAGTTAGCTCATCACCCCTTGACTTACGTGAATTGTTCAAAAATGGTGCAAAATCTGTGAACAGATATTTTACGTTGAGGAAAAGGTAAAAATGCCAAAACTGCTAAATGTGTATTTTTTAAACTTTAAAGGCTTCCCATCAATTGAGGTGATGACTAACAAATAAGTCATCCTGTCTCAAAGCCAAATATTATCAGAATTGCCAATAGGTAGGTGCTGCTTTCTGACTGTATTTTTAAAGGGGTTATTTGGATTATGTTTTAGGCAATTCTGATTGAGGCACATATGAAGAGGGACAAAATTTTAAAATTATACTTCATTTGTAATTTGTGACACAATCATAGTCAAACGAAAACCTAACATGGCGAGACTTAACAGACATGATTGTACCCCCCACACCATTACCAGAATTTTCACAGGAAAAAAGATAACTTCATCAGAAAATTATACTCATTTGAGAAGAAAAAGCACTGCTACTTTTTCATACATTCAGTATGTTTTACATTCTTCAAATTGTCTACATCTTAAACTCATGCTATTTTTTTTAATTTTAGGAACTATAAAATAGAACTACATTCCAAGATCATTGTTCAAAGCAATTGCATCTTATAAACATTTACTAGGTAAATTTGCCATGGCCCCCAAGATCATTCCAGAAAACCTTTTTTTTGTTTGTTTGTTTTTGTTTTTTTGGTTTTTTTTGAGTTGGAGTCTCACTCTGTCACCCAC